CCCCTACTCCCACCTGGCTGAGGCAGCAGACCCGGTCCCGCAGCAGCCGCGGGCATAGATCATGCGACGTGAGGGGATCACCCGGTACAACGTGCGAGAGCCAAAGGGAACAGGATACAGGATGCCTGCACGGACACGACCAAGGAGGAGGAGACCCTGGCTTCAGGAGGGCGGGAAACACGAGGAACGGCATAAACATGTGATTGGGTAACCGCAGCCATGTCATGAGAAGGCCCTGAGGGGCACACTAGCCCAGCAGAGGCAACAACAACCACTGAGATACAACACCTATGGGGGAAGGGGGCAGAGAGCTCTTAGGGAGTACAAACGGCCCCCGGCGCACAAGAAAGTGACACTAACTGGATAGATAGAGTGCTCAAACAACGACATACGTATAAGTACAACATGATACTTTGGCTCCCGATTATATTGTGAAGGGACGCTGGACCCCGTTTCCAGCAGGTGCAGCTCCCCCCACCAATGGAACGGAGCCATCCAAGAGGGGGAGCAGTGGAGGGTCTGTCTGCTCGTATCAGCAGTCCCCCCATTCGTTGCCTGATGTTTGCTTTCCAAAAAAATAAAAATAAAAACATGCACACAGCGCTGCTGCAAATGAATAATTGTGTCTTCACCTCAAAGTGCATGAGCGAAGCTTTCGCAAAGCTTGCCCGCATGTGTGTCCCATCTACACTCTTCAACGTGCGGCACACAGTGCTGCAAAAATTGCTAGAGCAAAATCTGAGAGAGAGCAATTCTTGTTCTTTTTCTTCGTCTTTTTTCTTTTGTCTTGTCTTCTTCCTTTTTTTTTTTTCACATGTTCTCTTAGAAAGGGCGGCGACCTTGAGGTATCATCATTGCACTGACCAGCCCCAGGTAGGTAATTCAGAAAGATTTTATTTTGAACCTGGTCCGTATTTCAACAGTTTGTGGGTGTACCAGCTGAGTTAGGCCCATTGGTAGATTCTTCTCATCTTCCTTTTTCCTTGTTGTTGTTGTCGTCATTGCAGTGAGAGGTGGGTTACCGTCGTCACCCAAATAGGATGGCAGGTCACTATGGCCGTATTTGGTCCAGCTTTCAGTCTAGATACACAGCGATAATGACCGGGCGTTCGATTCGGGGGAAGGCAGTAGCCTCAGGGTGAGTTGTTTGTGTGTGTCTGGCTATATGTCACAGCTGCAGCAGAATCAGGACCAGATGCAGAGCAAAGACTTGGTGGCATGAGAAATGGCACATCTTCATCTTGTGCCTACCATCTTTACCCAAGTAGGATGCCTGGTCATTATAACCGTATTTAGTGCAACTTTGAGTCTAGATACACAGCGATAATGACCTTGCTTCAGGGTGAGTTGTTTGTGTGCATACGGCTAAATGTCACAGCAGAATCAAGAACAGATGCAGAGGAAAGACTTGGTCGTATGTGATCGGTGGTGCGGTGATGGCAGGCCAGCAAGGGCGAGGGCAGTGGGATGTCGATGAACACCAACCAGCATGCATTTGGTGTTCGCTGTTGAGGCCCCTACTGTCGTGCTCCCAAATAGAACACGTACGCGATATGGTCATTATTGCTGTATGTAGACTGAAAGTTGCACAAAATACAGCTATGATGACTGTATGATTCTATACTCTATTGCGGTCTACATACATTCTATTCGGAGGAATTTGGTAGGTAAGGTTGAATGGTAACCGCCACAGCAAACAAAGGAAATGAGAGTATAGTAGTATACTCACACTAACTCTATCTTAAATGTCTCTCACCGCATTTTCGGCCAACCTGGATGCATCTGACCACAGTTGTATGAGAAGTCCTAGTGTGAGTAGACCCTGAAACTGGTGCTTGAAAGCAGTAGTGAAAAGGATCTTGTGATTCTTGTTTTTTTTTTTTTTTTTTTTTAAGGGTGATGCCGTGACGGCCTATGATATCATCATCATTGAACCATACCTGGGCGCTCGGTTATTCTCCACAGTAGGAGGGCAGCAGGTTGTGGGATGTGGGATGGGAGGGGGAGTCACCTATAGTACTTGGAGTATAGCTAAGCTGCCCAGGTGCTAGGGGCGGTTAGCTTGGCTCGTTTAGACAACCGTATAGGTCTGAGCTATCCAGATACAAAAGAAGGATCGAATTTTCGGAAGTCTGGCGGCTTGCTACGCTCCCCCGGGGTGTGGTCCCACCCCGTAAGCGAAACTGGGTAATGCTCCCAGCCTCCGGGTAGACTGTGAGGACCCGGCCTCAAATTATTTAAGTTGAAATATGAGCCTTGGGCACTGGGCCCGTGATTGTTTGGAAAAAAACAAAAACAAAAACAAAAAATCATCATTGAGCCGACTTGTCTCAGGTAATTCAGAGTGAGTTTTTATTTTTGATTTTTTAACAGAGAAATATACAAAATGGGAACCAGGCCCGGCGTCCGTTAACAATGTTGTTGTGCTCCACCATGGGACGGCATCACCTGCCGAACCCAGAGGGGAGGGAGGTCAAGAGTGACCCCAGGAAAAGACAAATATTGCAGAATATCCACATCTGTAACTTCTGTTCATCACTTCATCTTGATAGGATTTTAACTTGAGTGAAGTTGAGTCTGTATTTCAACACTTCATGGGTGTACTGCAATCAGACTCGTTCTCAAACACACTTTTCATGCATGTAAACAGCAACGCAGCATACTGGCGACATGCGCCCACTCAAAACTCAGAGATATGGCTTTCAGATACGAGTTCACTCTCAATTGGCTATGGCGACTTCAGCGCCCAAACATCTCACTGTTCACAT